CATCCAGCACCTTAGTAAAATACATGCTTAGCGCTTGAAACATTCTAGTCTTGAGATACTGCATGCTTATAAAATACTCAATCCCTAAAATTAAACATTCATGGGGACTAGGATGCTTTATTTTTGTATTAATAGATACCATTCTGCTGAGCACATAATCCTGATAGCATTCCAAAAACCTGTAGAAACTACTCTAAATCAATCTTGTAGGGGAAGTAACATCTGATAAGGAAATAAGAAATAGTAGGGGAATTTAGCCACATAAATACACATTTCTGACCAAGTATTTTGGATTTAGTGTTAGAGGCTACAAAGAAATACATTGAACTACAGTCACTTACATGCCTCTGTTGAAAGGTGTGTGTATACATATATATTCGTATGTGTGCATTATACACTTACATACACAAACACATATATAGATATTTTCAGTTAAGGGAAGCAAAAAGCAGTAGTAACAGAAACCAGAAACTGAAGATCTGTGTATAAAACTGCTTAGAACAAATACAATATCATGTCACTAATACCCATCTGTTCTCCAGCTGCTTTACAATTTCTCTTAAAAAAAAAAAAAAATTAAGATATTCTGCAAGTCTGACTACAACCACTTCATACTTTCATTATTTTGAAGGGAGGTGCAGGCCAGTAAAAAGTCCTAGTATCTAAATAGCCCTATATTAACATCTACACATCATATTTATTTTCTCCTCACCCAGCAAGTAAGGCTTATGTTTACATGAACACAGCTCAACAAGACAAGAATCACAGTGCTAAGGACCTATTAACTGGCGCTAAGGACCTGACACCCACACTGTGGGTTTTACTTTGGCGCTAAGGACCTGACCCACCACACTGGAGTATTACTTTTGACCAGCCATAGTCTGGTCCCAGGAACTGAATGCCCATTAGTAGTTGGAGCACACCTGATTATTTAATTCATTTCAACAGGAATCAAGTTTATATACTTAAGCCACTTGGCTACATAAGCCAAAGTACAGTAAATAGAGACAATTGAGAGGTTTTCTTTAAAAGAGCACTCCTAACCCAAATTAAGATGTTAATGCTCATGTACCCAAGAAACAATTTCCTGTGGCTTCACATTCAGCTATAGGCACCATGTCTCTCTTTGAGGCTGTGCCAGCTCATCCCAATAAACAATATGAACCTTAGAGCTTGCTGTTTTCTTCAGAACCAAAGAGAGGAAGCAGCACCAACATTTGGTCAAGATGTTAAAGCAGAGAAGGCAACGGAACAACCACCTGCAGTACTTGTTACAGGCAAGCCTCAAGCGTGGTTGATAGCCCTTTGCAACAGAATTTCTTCTGGTGATCCTGGGAAGACTGGAAAATCTAAAGCTTCCTACCAGTATACTCAAAAAAAGCTGTCAAATTTATTTATTAGGGTTGTTGGCAATTTTGCTGTTGTAAGGATGGTGCTTGAGTATACTTAACCTTTCAAGACTTCCATAACAATTCAAAGTCCAAGGATACAGACTGTTACGGGTCTTACAGGGCCACTCAAGAGACCTACACACAGCAAGACATACTGAATGTAGAGGAGGACCTTACTAACCCAAAGAGACAGAATAAAACTAACTAAAATCCCTAAAAATGTAAGCCTGCCATTAGATCAGAAAATGATCCTGCCACTTAGCCTCTGAAAGTGACCAGCAGCATATGCTTAAAACGGAAGCTACCAAAGGATCAAGTCTTCGATTTTACTTAAATCCAATCACATCTCTCCATTCAGAGATTACTGTTTAACAGAAAGTCTATTACAAACACTACAGAAGAGCTTCCAAGACCCAGTAAGTATGCTCCTGCAGGTCATCAACAGATCACAAGAAAGAAAAGAATTGCAACATATTCAGAGGTCATAAGGAAGCAGCTTAATGCAGTATTAACAGGTTAAAAAAAACAAACATATGCAAAATGCTTCAAATAACTACATTAAATTTGCAAAAAAAAAAAAACCAAACCCAAAAAACAAACCAACAAACAAACCAGATAGCAAGGGAATGGGAGGAAAATAGTGGGATAAAAAGAGCGATCAGTTCCTACAATAGTATTTTAAATATAACAGGGTTTTTTTGAAGTGCCACATCATTAGATGTTATTCAAACTAAAAACTAAGTGTTGGACATCTTACCTAAAGAACAGGAAGAAGAAAATTAATACAATCACAAAATATTCCAGATGGAACAATCCTACTGATTTTAAGGGGGGGGGGGGGTACAAGGAATCTGCCTTCATGGAAATCCTTGACAAATCTGAAAATCCTAAAACTAGAACTTGCAGCACCGCTCTCTGACACAGAGTACTTGGTAAGATTTTAAGTATAAGGCAAAATGTTAGTCAGGAATTGTTACTCAGTTTAAATGTGGAAAATATTTTCTCTCAATTAAAGAGACTATTTAAGTCACAAGGTAAGTGCTACAAAAAGTAACTAGCAAGCACAGCCCATAGACTATAGCCTCCTGAAATTCACCAGCCCTGCTTTCTGATATGAATGCAACACTAGTACTGTGACTACCACTTTCAAAGGAATTGCCTCATAACCCAAATATCTTAATGCCATTTTGCCGTTACTCCATTTTTCACCAAGATCTTCCAGCTTTGGCCAAGCATATGGCCATGGCCCACACAGACCATCTCTGAAATCATAAGGGCTCCATGATTGTCATCTTTTGTACTTGGCATCATGTGGATCAAGATAATTTCCACTTTTCTCCCTCCCTTACTATTCTTATAGTTTCAGTATAGAAAGCCTACATTCCAATTCAATCCCATATACTATCTGATCACAAGATCCATCAACTCATGCCGAACAGAAAAACAGACACAGAGGTTACTGGACATGCATGGCATGGTCAAGTGTGCTCACCAGGACCAGTTTGGTCTTGTGAGCAGAACAGATGCTAAAAGTAACAAAGCCCCAAACCAAAATGCTGTTCCCGAGGGCGGAAAAAACAGTAATAATTCAGTATTATATAAAGATTACATATTCAAGCCCTAAAGTAGCAATAGTGACTAGATCTCACCTTTAAGCATTTGCCCTATCGCGAGCAGGGAGAACAGTGGAAGGTGCCCAGTGCTCAGTGGGTCATCAGACTAGGCACGTGTATTTAGGTCACAACAATTAAGCCATTTTTGTTTTTTTCCATCTCGCTGATGAGCGAGACTTGAGCACGAGTTATCACAGCAATCCTGTACAAACGCAAGGTAAGAGAAGGCCTGGCGCCTCCGCCCGGTGTCCCCCACTGAGCGCCCCCCGACCCCGAGCGTGACACTACCAGCTCGGATATAAAATGGCTGAGAGAACCAAAGAGGGGAAAGGCAGAAGGAGCCGCACCATCACCACCCGGGGTGCTCCCTCCTCGCTGGTCTCTGCCCCAGCCCCTGCGGAAACTTCGCAGCGGGAGTCCCGGGGGGCAGCGGCCCCTCAACCTGGGGCAGCGGACAGTAATATCCTCAGCCGCCCCTTCGAAGCGGCTGTGTGCAAGGCCCGTGTGCAGGCGCTCCGGCGAGCCTGGACCCGCCCTGCCCCCGCCGCTCACCTGAAGGCGGGCCCCTCCCCCGGAGCGCGGCCATGGGGGGCCGCCGCGCCGCCGCCCCTTTTGTTGAACAGCTTCTGGAGCAGGGTAGGGGCCATGCTGCTGCCGCCGTCCTGCCCGGCGGGGGCCCCACCGCGCGTCTCACAGCTGTTCAGCGGGCGGCGAGCGGCGGCGGCCGCATCCCCGCCGCCGCGGAGCCGCCCAGCATTGCGCGGAGGCGAGGGGAGGGGAAGCGAGGTGAGGTGACTGAAGCGCCGCGCTGCCCAGCCGCACCGCTCCGGGGGGCCGCCCGTCACCTGACCGAGGGGCCGAACCGGCCCGCGGCGCTGACAGCTGCCCACCCGCCGGCCGGGGCACGGCACTGCTCGGCACAGACGCGCCGCCAGCAGCCGCGCGACAGCAACGGAGACAGGCTGCGCGAACGCGCCGCGCCCCTCCAGCATCCCCCATTGGCTGCGCGGCGCTGCCTGCCCCGCCCCCAGCACGTGGTAAGGCGCACGGGGGCCCGCTTAAAGGGACAGCGCCTGTCTCGCGCTGGGGTGCGGCGGTTTGAGACGTTGGGGGGAAGGTGCTGAGAGAGCACGTGCAGTCCCCATGCCAGTACAGCGGGCGCCGATTCGTCTATCCACAGTAGTAAGCACCCGTATACGCACACGTAAGGAGTGTGAGCAGGAGGTCGAAGGGGGTAATTCTGTGTGCAGTTCTGGTGTCCTCAACATAAAAAGGACATGGAACTGTTGGAACAAGTCCAGAGGAGGGCCACGAGGATGATCAGGGGACTGGAGCACCTCCCGTATGAAGACAGGCTGAGAAAGTTTGGGCTGTTCAGCCTGGAGAAGAGAAGGCTGCATGGAGACCTCATAGCAGCCTTCCAGTATCGGAAGGGGGGCTATAAGGATGCTGGGGAGGGACTCTTCATCAGGGACTGTAGTGATAGGACAAGGGGTAATGGGTTAAAACTTAAACAGGGAAAATTCAAGGAGTTCTTTACTGTGAGGGTGGTGAGGCACTGGAGCAGGTTGCCCCAAAAAGTGTTGAATGCTCCACCCCTGTCAGTGTTCCAAGGCCAGGCTGGAGGGGGCAACCTGGTCTAGTGGAAGGTGTCCCTGCCCATGGCAAAGGGGTTGCAACTAGATGAGCTTTAAGGTCCTTTCCGATTCAAACCATTATGATTCCTTTATTAAGGTGGCACTGCTTGGAAGGTGCCTATTTTTACTCATTTCTCTATAATGATCTATTTCATTCACAAAATAATTAAATAATGCTACAGTACTAGGGTGTGTGTGTGTGTCATTTGGAGCTTTGTTTAATCTGGGGGGAAGGGCTGTTTCTGTGCTTTTTCCCAGCAGCAGGGCAACACCACCATGCAACCACCAAGAGAATCCAACTCTTAAATGCTCTGTTTTAATCAGGTACGTAGCAGAATTATGAGAGCTTCCTGTTCAGAAAACTTGGAGACATGACATGGAGAATGGCGATTATGGCAATAGTTGTAACAGACTATTACAATAGCTGACTGCAGACTCAACATCCAGTAGCAGCAGAAGAGGTGGAGAACATGCTGGTGCTTTGGAGCCAGCCTTTCCGTGGTTGGATAAGCCGATTTATCTCTAAAAAATCAAAAGATGAGTTTCTACTGGCCTGATAATCTGATCAGCTGCTCCCTCTGTGACCCCAGCTTGAATCCTGTACTGCTCAGCTGACCCTGTCTCAAGGTTTATTCTCAGAAGGCATTGCCATTTTGAAGGTTCTCAGCCACTTCATCTGTGAGATGGAATACCCAGTGTAAACCTTTCAGCTTGGGTTTTCTTGCAGCTTTTGATTCTTTACTTCCACCATCATCACCAAATGCCCCCAGTCATTAAGATCAACCCATGCAAGCAAAGCTGAAGGACCAAAGAGTGAGGGCATGGAGATGACAGTACAGTGAAAGGGAAGTGAATAGCAGGGTGTGGCTGAACAAGATGAAAGACATCCTGGTTGACATAGTAATCAATGCAAATGAGAATCTAGGCATTCAGCTCCAGAAATAAGCACTGGATTGTATTTCTTAAAGAACAGCAAAAGTGGTGTGCAAAGTTTGAGCAGATGTAAAGAAAAAAGCCATACTATCTGTCAAGAAAAGACCATTTGCAGCAAGATGGTGTGTTTACAGCCCTCACCTCTTCTAGGAAATACAGGAAATAAAAATGTGGCATACAAAAATCATGGAATCATTTACGTTGGAAGAGAATTTTAAGATCATCAAGTCCAGCTGTTAACCTAGCACTGCCAAGTCCACCACTAAACCATAAAAAAGTCATTCAAAACCTGGAATAGCTGAATGCTCAGGTAAGTATTTCTGTGTTTCATAGCATGTAAATTTCTCAGAAGACTCTCTCCTGAGAAAGCAGGGATTAGGTCTTATAGCCAGGATAGGCTGGGTTGAAAGTCAAGTCTTCCAGGTCACACTTTGCCTCCCCATCACTAGGACCTGGATGAAATCTGAATTCCGTTACAGCTGCTTCCCTTCCCCCCTGCTTGGACCTGAATGCATAAGTCCAAAATATTCCAAAAGCTTTGGAGTTTGTCAGAACTAGGCTTTGGAGAAACCACAGAAAGAAGCTAGAGGCCAGGACAGGTAACTAAACTCTGAAGATTTAACAAAAAGTTCGTTAATCCATGGTGCTCACTAATGACTTGATGCTTAGCGTGGTGACGCATGCCAAGTTACATGAACACAAGTCTTGCTACACTTTGCAATGCTTCAGCAACATTTTGGATTCTGTAAAATAAACAAAATCCAATTTTTATTGCCACTTCAAACATGCCAAGTACAAAGTGATACCAAGTATGTCTAGAATTATTCTCTCTCCATATTGCCATTATTACTAGTTAGCAGAGCAAGTCTAAATTACTCTCAACAGAGAATTATAAAACCTATTATAAAATGCATTCCACTTTGCAAGCAGGGGCAGAAACTGACAGGAGTGGAGAGCTTGGGATTGCAGCCCCCTGCAAACAGGCTTACTCATCCATCGTGGAACTGAGTATTACATAACTTGAGCTGTTGCTGCAGCAACTTTTCCCAGCCCCGGAACAGTGCCACAGAGGTGCTGCCTTAATATAGATAAGCAGCTTCACTGTCTCTTTACACAGCACATACAGTTAGCTGAAAATGAAGGACAGTTTAAAGAGAAATATGCAAGATAATTGTTTCAAAATTACTGGGAAATACTGATGTATGTAATGAAACATTAATTTTCAGCAGTGTTCGGTGTTAAAAACAGAGAGAAAGGCCAGGTAAGAGATGACTCCTTTTAATCATCACAATATAAATATTGAGTAATACAGTGATAAATGGATTGTGTGAAGGCAATTGGTATTTACAGTCCTCTGAAATCACTACTGTACTTACATACATAAGATGTTCATACCTTACATACTTACATGTGCACATGCCTGTGAATGTTCATACACTTGTTTAAAACCTGGTTTTGTTCCTCTCTGCAGCAGAGTTGTTGACATTGTTAAATTGAATGTCTAAGCCTCCTGGCCCAGGACTCCATGCAAAGCCTAGCTGGAAAGCCTCAGGTCCCAGATTTTCAGTGGCAAATTCTGTCGTGGGACGTCATATTTCTGGTTGCACTCTGGTCTTTAAATCCATGCTGATGTAGTTCACCTTGAACTCCATTCTACATTAGATGAATCCAAAAAGGCTTTCTGCACATACACACACACACACAAAAGTCATCATAATTTATATTTTCACAGAATCATAAAATGGTTTGGATTCCAGGGGAACACAGAGATCCTCTAATTCCAACCCCCTTGCTATGGGAAGGGACACCTTCCACTAGACCAGGTTGCTCCAAGCCCTGTCCAGTCTGGCCTTGAACACTGAAAGGGATGGGGCATCTACAGCTTCTCTGGGTAACCTGTGCCAGTGTCTCACCACCCTCAAGGTGAAGACTGTTTTCCCTAATGTCTAATTTAAGTCTCCTCTCTTTCAGTTTAAAGCCATTCCCCTTGTCCTGTCACTACACACCCTTGTAAAAAGTCCCTCTCTAGCTTTTGGTTGGTCCCCTTTAGGTGCTGGAAAGCTGGTTTAAGATCTCCTTGGAGACTTCTCTTCTCCAGGTTGAACAAGCCCTTTAATACCTTTTGGCGATAACTATGATAAACGGTAGCATGCATTTACATGAAAGTGCAGTAATATACAGGACATACATTTGTATCAAAAGTGAGGGCAGGAATTCAGCAACAAAACTGTCATCCCACATCATCACTGTGGCAACTGTGGCCAGCAGCTCTCTAATGCTTTGGGCCTCTCCTTGTAAGCCATGGCTGTACTGTTAGCAAAAGTCATAGGCACCCTCTACCATACCTCCTCAGGTCCTAAATGTTACTCTTTGTTATTTGCCTCTGAAACATGTTCTAAGCAGAGCTAAAATATACAGCTAAAAAGTCTGCTTATTTTTGCTTGGTTTTTAGCTAAACTATTTCTTTAGAATCAGTGTATCTGAAAGTTAGTGATGAGTAAATGCATGACTTCTTTCAATTTCTGTCATATTATGTCAGCTCTGTGTAGACACTTTTCTTTTTAAAACATCCCGCGATAAGTACATACAGTTCTACCATTGTCTGACATTGCATCTTAATTCAGCTTAGAGGAATCATCTCAGAGTCAGTAACTGCTCATTATGGGTTTCATCTAGGACCTCTTTATTCAGCTTTATGGAGAAAGAGACTTGGTTCAGCTGGAAAACAATAAGCCTAATGATGAAAAAACAGGTTTCTTCTCTCCTATCTCATGTCTCTCTCATGAAGGTTACATGCTTGATGTGCCAGGTCACATGGGAACAGCACAGGATGCACCCCGTGTGTCACACGGCACTGGCTGAGTGGCTGCTCTATTTCACAGAAGGCAGTGAAAGTGTCCTTACCAAGACTGTTACCAAAAACCTGCTTATTGAAAGTTTCTTAATACCTGTTCTGAAAAGCCAGTAAGGTGTGTGCTTCAGTCACTCCTCAGGTGGATCCCATCAGACTCCACTGGACCATATTCTGAAGCTACAGTTCAGTCCAGTGAAAACTGCACAGACAACTACTCTTATACAGACCAAAATGGCTTTTAATATCCCTAGACAAGGCAGTTCTGCACTGAGCCAAAGCACTCACCTTCTGGTGGAATGAATATGTTTAAGCTTCTACTTTCTTCACAGTGTCAAATACAGATTTAGAGGTGAGAAAACGCAAGAAAATGAAACAAAAAGCAAAAAATCCTAATCTGAATGTTTAAATATTTTCCTAGCTTACACAATCAGCAACAATTTTCCTAGCTTACACAATCAACAATTATCCTTATTTTACAATTTTTTCTTTCATGAATGCTGTTTGACAGGCTAGAATGACTGAAATAAATTTGCTTATTGTGTCTTCAACAGAGTGCAAGTTTTAGAATATAAATGCATTTCTAAGCATTTATAAATGATAGCTTCTTTAGTCAGGAAGAGAAGAAGAAGTGAAAACAAAGATTTTTACAACTGGCTGATCCCTTTCTCTGATCTTTGCATTCCATCAGGCTGCAGCATTAGGCTAGCAATTTTGTGTACAACTTAATGTAATAATTTGAACATTAAATCACTCAGTAAATTCTTGACAGAAGTGACACTATACTTGTTTTTACAATCTGTCAATGACTATAAATTAATATGTAATTATGCTACTGCTGTGCTTTGGAGATATTCATTCAGCTTACATATTTTCCAGAATCTCCTACTAACACTGAGAAAGTTGCTTGACTTCTGTCATTTAGCTCACATCTCCAAGTTACCACAGGGACTGCCTCTTTCTTTGTACCTGTAAAGTACTTTGCACATAGGGACTCCCGAGCAACTACTGTAATATGAATTACTAATCTAGAATCTAGACTATTCCAACTTGGCTGGAAAAAAACCTGTAGGGACTGCGTAAGCCTGCTCCTGGAAGCATGAATCACTGCTTCTTCCTGAGAGGAAGCTGCCAACAGCTCTTGCGGGGGACACGCTCAACAAAACACAATTTACTCTGATGTCTGCTAAAGAAATCTCTTCTAGACCATACTCACTTGGCTAGCAACTGCCTCACTGAGATCACTTCTCCCACACCACTGCACCTCACCTAGGCTGAGCGTAATGATAAAAATATCTCAGCCAGTGACCACGGCCAGATGCCTGGTGACTTACAGGTGACTCAGAGCTCTGGTGCCTTTGACATTGTGGAGCATGTGAAACCTCTAACACAGCTGCATGACCTGGCTCAGAGAGAAAAATGCCTTAGCACGGTTCCACTGATTCCTCACTAAGCATTCTCAGATGGTAGCAGACGGCTTTTCCTTCTGTTAAGAGCTCTCAGATGCAATACGCAACAGTACTTGGTGCCAATCACATCTTCTATCCAACATCTGCACAGAGGCTGTGGGAATGATCGTGATGAAGTATACGGACTACAGTGTTAGTAATATCAATGCTACTTTTCTTTCAGTCTGGGAATTACAACTGCCCTCTGACACATCTAATATTAAGAACATACTGAGAGAGAGATGAAAAACAGCTTGGTGAAACTCAAGTCTAAACATATAAAGATGACATGAATTAAAGGAGAAAGCCTTTGGATGATACAATGAATCAAAAGATGTATATAGTTTTCTGGGATGGATTAGAGAAGTCCAAGGAGTAGAGACTTCTTTTGATCAGCTGCATTCCCCAAAAGGCTGTAAGTTTGCAAGAGTAAAAGCCCAGCACCCTTCTGCTTTTCCCCCAACTCATACCTTGCTTTCCTGATGCCAATGAGCACAGGATGTGGCCATGTTGACCATTCATCCACTTGGGAATTCTGCACCTTGAGGAGCCACAACAAAGTTCTCTGATGGTATTCACATCCCTTGGTCAATGCAAGTGGCTGAAAGCGACTGCCTTGTAACAGTTATTGTGATACTCACACTTCGGGAAGAAACACATTTTGTTTTCAGACCTTAAGAAGACAGGAGTTATTCGGGGTTTCTGAACAGTCATATGGTGATAGTCACTTTTGACAATGTGCCATTTTTTCCAGGAGTTGCAGCTTTTCACGAGGTCTGTATTTCTCTCCTGAAACATGAACCCAAGCAAAATTAGAAATCCCTCTCCTCACCCGCTTTTCCAGGCCTTCTCTCTGTGTGTAAAAACTCAAGAAAGAAGCGGGCATTCTTTCCTTTGCACGCTACCCTCAGTCATTTCAGGCTGCTCAGAGGCAGGCCGCAGGGGCAGACCTTTCCTGCGGCCATCTGCGGGGCCCTTGCTCCGCGGTGCGGCACCCCGCGCAGCGCTCCGCCTGCAGCCAAAACTGGCGGCCCTCAGCCAGACCACCAGCGGCTTGGGACGGCGGTGCTGGGCCGTGCCGGGGCACCGGGGGAGACCACCACAACCCCGGCTCTCCCGTCCTCACCTGACAGCAACGGCCCCTTCCACCGGGCCGGGGTTAGCGCGGGGCCAGGCTTCCTTCCCTGCGGTCCATGCCCCGCCCGTGGGAGGAGCGGCGAGCGGCCCCGACCCCGCGGCGGCCGGAATCGCGGGCGGCCGAGCAGGCGGAGCCAGCGAGCCGGCGGGCAGCTACGATATGTCGCACCCGTCGCCTGTCTCCCGGCCCAGCCAACCCTCCAATCCCCGCACCTTCTTCGATGTGGACATCGGGGGCGAGCGAGGTGGGGAGGGGGCGGAAGCGGCGGGGTCCGGGCCGGGTCGGGGGGGGCTGGGATACCCCTGTGCTGAACGCTCGGGGGCCGGGCCAAGCGGGGGGGAGCTGCGTGGCTCATGCCCGGGCCAGGCCGCGGAGAGGAACGTTTTCGACGGGGAGGAACAAGCAGGGTTGGGCCCCGATGGCGCCGCACCACGCTGGCTGCAGTCACCCGAGCTGCGAGTACAGACAGCCGGCTCGGGAGAGGAGAAACGCGGCTCGCCGTGAACGGGCGTCCCTGGGACGGGGAGGGGCTTATCCGGGGGCTTTGCGCTCTTCCCCCGAGGTTTCCCCACCAGAGCCCACAGGCCCGAGGGAAACGGGCCACATGGCTGCACAGGTACCCCGTCCCCGGGCTTCCCAGCTGGGGGAGTGTCCGTGCGGGAGCGGGTACCGCTGTCACAGGCTCCCCTCAGAGACGCGCACCAGCAGGCGCCATGTGGGTGCAGGCCGCGGCCCACTCCCCTGCTCCCGCTCACCCCACCGCAGGGTTCGGCCTTGGTCAGGAAGGGGTTCTGCCTTCCGGCGGTGACCGACTGGAGACCCGCTGAGCCGGGCAGCTGTGGTGTAAGGAGGTGAAAGCTGAGGCGGGCCTGGTTGTTCCCTTGGCGTCTGTCGTCAGGGTTGCAGGAGGTCACTGGAAAATCTGTGTGAACGGTCAAAATGGAAATCCGAAAACAACAACATGGTAGCTGGGGTGGTACTTGAAAGTGCAGGTTCCCAGCATTCGCATGGGTGAAGATAGATGCTGCCGTTTTGTCAAGGCAGCACCTCTCATGTATTTGTTCTGCTGCTCGAAAGAATAAAAGAAGCAAGTCTGCAAGAGGATCTGTGGTTATTGACTTTCAGTTCTCTAATTTGTTTTCATTCCTGTATTAATTAGAATTAATATATTTACATTTAGCTTCCGGTAGAGTGAAGTTATGTTAACTAATTGACTGTGAGGCTGATGAGAAAACAGGATCATCAACTGATGGCAGCTGCGAGGAGTGAGAAACAGCTCCCTAAGAAACCACTTTATGAAAAGATGAGAGTCTGACACAGAATCCATTTATCAACTATTACAGGATCTGTTAGCTACACAGGTTTCACTTCAGTTAAAAAAAGTACATTTTTTGATTTAACAATTGCTTGCAGCATCTGTAACTGTAAATAGCTATTATTCCTCCTCAGGTATTACTGTGTCCTAGTAAAATTGGGGTTTAAGAGAATGAGGAGTAAGGTTAGTATACATGTTTGGCATAAGCTTTTTGATCAAATAAAAGGCAAACCAGTCTTTAAATTTTGTCTATTTTTGATTGAACAGACTACATATATATGTTAAAATAGACATCAGTATACACGTTAAAGTACGCAATTTGGTTTTAATACACGTGTAATTTCCTATGCACATTTTCCTGGCAAAAGACGCATTTGAAATTTTTGGCAGAATCTGTCTTTATTCCCCTTAAAGTGTTCTTGATAGTGGAATTCATTGTTGCTGATAATCTTGCTAAAAATCTACTCTATCTGTGCCAGCAGTTGCCACTGAACAAGCCCAAAATGCAAACTGAATAACATTTGCCCAGTAACGCATCACCATGCCAAGGATGTGACTTAAAAATATGCTTCATTCATCTGTCATTTCAGTTGGACGCATTGTCTTTGAATTATTTGCTGATGTTGTACCTAAAACTGCTGAAAATTTCCGTGCGTTATGTACGGGAGAGAAAGGAATGGGGCCTACCACTGGAAAACCTCTCCATTACAAAGGATGTCCTTTCCATAGAAGTAAGTTCCATGAAATCCTCTCTTTTCCTGTTGGTAACTGAAGTCCTATATTATCATATTTGAAATAATGTTAAGTAATATTTTGGAGTACTTGTTTAAGAAATAGCTTGACTGAAAGTAAAGTTTTTGACTTTCTGATCCTCCTAATGACAAGATGGTCTTACCATGCATTGACAGTAGTAAAATATAAATGCATTAGTAAGTTAGTAAAACTAGTCTAGTGTGCGCTGTGAGTACGTTGAAATGAATTTCAGGTAAAGGATTAAATATCAACTGAAAAGGAGTACTTAGGGGACACTTAATAAAGGGTGGGTTTTGATTTTATTTAAGTATGGGTGCTGCTGACAGGGATCACTCATCATCTCCAAATTATTATTTCATGCCTTTCCTGCCTTGCTGCTATATTTTATAATTATTTTCTTTTACAGTTATAAAGCAGTTTATGGTCCAGGGTGGAGATTTCTCAAACCAAAATGGCACAGGTGGAGAAAGTATCTATGGTGAAAAATTTGAAGATGAAAACTTTCATTATAAGGTACTCCATTGAAAATACTAGTTGTGTTCAGTTTTTGAAGTTTCAATGATTTTTGTTTTTCTTGATGTTCAGAATTAGCACTGTTTAGTCCAAGGTTCATGTATTTTTAAGCAGTCAAACGAATGCAGCAAAAAAGCCCCAACTAGTTTGTCCTTATAGTCTTTGTTGAGTACAGAATACATGTATGAATACACAAAATGAGGTCAACCTCACTGAACAAAGTCAACCATAGCTCAATTTTTCTTTTTAATTGCACCATCAGAAATTCATTTGAAACAATATTTTAGTTCTCATCAAATTAAGGGTGATATTAGAGTGGCAAATTTTGTTACTCAGACATATACAGTATGTTAGCATTAACTGGATTTTATACCTTTTTTTTTCATTTATTAGTAACATTCAGATCAGATGTGAGAAATACGTGTCTTAAGAAGTAGGGAATCCATGGTAGGTTGCAGAATTAATCCAAAAGATAAAGCATTTTCCCCACTGCATTTATTTTCAATGGTACAAGAAGTAAATGGTTGTTTACAAGTGGCTTTTTTCACCCAAAATGTTGGAAAAACGTGCTGTGAACAAAGCAAGTTTTTGAATATGCAAAGGCCTCAATGTGAGGATGTCATTTTAAGAGATGCTCTCTTTGATGGCAGAAATTCCTACTCCTTCCATTACTTATTCCCACTCTTGTGTCAGAGCTCACTATTTCATTACTAGCAACCATAAGTGTAGTCCCACAAGCAGTTTTGTCAGCCCAGCAGTGTGAAGAGAGGCAGGAGCTGCGCTGCAAGAGTAGGAAATTCTGAAACAATCTTTGTCCTCAAAATCATCATCTAGCGAGACTGCAAGTGCATGTGCTTTACACCACATGTACAATTTTAGATAAGCAGTTTTCTCAGGGTGTATCCTGTATATTTTTTCTTGTTTCTTTTGCAAAGGCATAGCTTTCAAAATGTCCATTACCATTCTTCGGACTTCTCATCATAAAAATCGAATGCAGTTGATGCCTCCACAGTCTGTCTTTTGACATAAATTGACTTTTGAAAAAAATCTTTTTAAAGCATTTTAGCATTTTAAGCATTTTACCTTGCTTTGAAAATGGCTATTCCAGGAAGAGGACTGCTTTTTATCATGCTGTGCAGCAGGTATGCACACTTTAAGCCTACAATTTAAACAGTATTTAAGATCTTCAAATCTAAGTACTACCTGTACACTGTGACTTAGATGTTTTGGATAGCAGACTTAGCTGTTCTGGAGAAAAACTGCAACCATAATAATTGTTTCTGAGTGCTCATCTGTGTTCTCAGCTGTACTGAAAGGGCAGTGTGGCATGAAAAAATCCCTTGTGCTTGAACTGTGAGTAATCACATCTTGAACCTGGATAGGAGTACAACTTGGAAACAACAAAAATAACATGTTTTTCAAGCACCCCTTACAACAGTCAAGACACCCAGAGCTGTAGGTGTAACAGTCTCAGCACTGACATTAACTGAGTTCATTATGTCTAATTATGTGATAGCATATGAATGACTCCTCAATAATACTGACTAAAAGAATTACAGGCATTGTTGACCCATGTCTAAAACAAAGCCCTGACTGCAATTGTGTTTACCTCCTAACAATATTGTAGGAAAACAAAATATGGTAATACTCTACTAGTCAGGCGTCAAAGTCCATAACCAGGTTTGGAGCAATATCTAGAAATGTAGCCAAACATTCATCATAGATTTAATTACAGTTAGGAGAGATGTTCTCTGAAGTCTGACAGTTGCTATGGTGGTCTCCCTCCCCTTCTCCCCACAATATCAAGTTTCATAGGAATCCCACAGTTTGCATGCTTCAGTATATATGCGTGGTATAACATGCTGATTTAAGTTAAACAGGGTTCCTTACAATTAATAACAGATCAGCTTGGGGAGAATAACATCTTAATGGCTGCGTCATGTCAGTTTAACAAGAGAATCACAAGACATATGAAAAGTAGATTTTTGCAGTACAAGTGTAAATGAAGTAATCTGTGTGGTGGTGCAAGATAATTCTTATTTCAAAGAAGGAAAAAGTACTTGCAGCAAACAAGATAAACAATATTTTCTCATGTTGGGCTGTTTAATAAATTTTTGTTAGATTGTGGCCTGGTAGCATAAGCCAAAATAATTAGATGGTTAAAAATCGCAAGAGAATAAAAACTGGCTGTCTGTGAAAGTGAAGGAGTTAACCTTCCCCCCTTCCTCCCCCAACCTTTAAATAATAAAGACCACAGACCCATAAACCCCACAGTTCTGCAACATACTTTGGGTGAGCAGCCTTTATAAAATTAACAGTACATACCCATCCTGAGAGTGTAACTTTGAAGTTGCTTTAAGTGGTGTTTAGCTTTGTTTCTCAAGGCCAGTGGTCTTGAGTAACCCAGGGAAGAATTT